CTTGTGGAGGCTGAACAGGTTCAGGTCCCATAGTGGTAGTACTTGGCATAGTAAAATTTATTGTCTGTACCTAGATTGAGGTTTCAGTTTCTTACAATTTTCATAGAATCATAGAAAATTAAGATTGGAAGGGACCTCAGGAGGTCATCTAGTACAACCCCCTACTCAAAGCAGGGCCATCCATAACTAGATCATCCCAGACGGCGCTTTCTCGAGCTGAGCCTTAAAAACCTCCAAGGATGGAGATTCCACCACTTCTCTGGGTAACCTGTTCCAGTGCTTCACCACCCTCCTTGTAAAAGAGTTTTTCCTAATATCTAACCTAAACCTCCCTTGCTGCAACGTGAGACCATTGCTCCTTGTTCTGTCATGTGTCATCACTGAGAACAGTGTAGCTCCATCCTCTTTGGTACCCCCCCTTCAGGTAGTTAAAGGCTGCTATCAAATCCCTTCTCAGTCTTCTCCTCCCCAAACTAAATAAACCCAGCTCCCTCAGCCTCTCTTCATAAGTCATGTGCCCCAGCCCCCAAACCATTTTCATTGCTCACCACTGGACTCTCTCCAACTTTCTGTAGTGGGTGCCCAAAGCTGGACACAGCACTCCAGATGGGGTTATTGACTACTGGAACCCGCAGGTCTTTTTCCGCAGAGCTGCTGTTTGGCCAGTCAGTCCACAGGCTGTAGAGGTGCATGGGATTCTTCCCATGGTAACCTGCTGTGTACCAGAGGGTATGTGGCACAGGTGTTCCCCAGGGACAACTAGCAGAAGTAGAAGGTGCTCTGCTGCTAGTTGTCCCCGGGGAACCAAACAGCCGCACACATGTGGACGCAGCCCATGAGATTTCTTTTGGCCCAGTCCTCCAATTTGTCTAGGTCACTCTGAATCCTAGCCCTACCCTCCAGCATATCTACCATTGCCCCCAGCTTGGTGCCATCTGCAAACTTGCTGAGGGTGTGCTCCATCCCGTCTTGCAGGTAGTTAATGAAGATATTGAGCAAAAACAACCTGAGGACCAACCCCTGGGGCACTCCACTTGATACTACTTGATATTTTGTTCATATTCAATATATAATGCTAGTAAAATGTTGGCAGAAATGTACGGAATACTCTGAATATTGTGATTTGCTGGGACAGGAGTCAAGCAGCATCTAATAACATGATCAACTTCATGGGTTTCTGCCAACTGAATGAAGCATACTTCATCATATTGGTGTTTGCTATTAGAAATTCAAAAAGACAATTATTTTGCTATAAAAGTTTGGAAATAATGGTAATTTACTGCAACTAGTTAGGGATTGAGAGAATAACAGCCTTACACAGTTCCCTTTCTGTGTACAAAGTAAAAATGTCTCTACTTTGAATAACCCAAGCCAATAGTCATTGTTCTGTTAGCCTGCAGTGCATGTGGTTTGTGTTGGGTAAAGTGTGAAGAAACTTTCTTGTAACGGATGGTGTATAGTTGTTCTGCAAAGCTAAATGATGTTCATAGGATATATTTTATGGGCTCTGGCTTTCAACATCTCTTTCTCCTGCAGTTTGTTTGTCTCTAATTGAAAGCTCATTGTCTGTTCTCTAAATGCTGTTTTAACATGACAAAAAGTATGTGTTTACACCACTTGTCAAGCTAAAGCAGCATATGTGGCACATCTATGACAAAAATGTTGCTATTTTAGACAGCAGCTTTTGTCATGTGAAAATGTTTCTGCACCAAATTTTAACATGTATACAAGGAGTGTACTTGGTAGCCATGTTGGTCTGAGACAAGAAGACATACAAAAAACTAGAACTCTTGGTTCCAAAATGATACCTTTTTATTAGACCAACTGGGAAATTGCAAGAAAACTGTCCTTTTCTGAAAGCTTTCAGGATCAAAGTCCCTTCATCAGGCTCTGGGAAAAGTATAGATGGTACAAGATGGTAAAAGTCCCTGTAGATAGGGAATAAACTTAATTTTTGCACAGAGGGAGCTGAAGATGGAAGGCTGTCTCCCTCTGGGGCCATGAGAGTGTCTTACATATATACAATGTACTTGGACCCCCAGTGCCCCACTGTACTCTTTCTCCCTCCACTTCACTTCCAATCCTCCAAGGAGGAGGGAGGGAGAGAGCACAGATTGCTCCATTACAGCCTGCCCAGCTAGTGAGTCATCAGGGAGTCCTGCAAGGAACCCTGTCATCACCGCTGTGACTGCCACAGCAATGTCTTTTGCAGCAGCCACTGCAGAGCTCTGGCAGGGATGGCCATGCATCAAATTCCCCTTGTCACTGCCAGAGCCTCCTCGAAGACCTGGTGGGAAATGGCTTATAGGGCTGCAATGGCTTCAGCTGATCTGGCAAGCCTATCAGTGTGGCCTGTCTTGCTCACTGAAGTGCTGCCTAGGGGTGGAGAGTGAGCTGCCTTTGCAGTGACTTTGTTGTGCTCCCTCCAGGGGGTTGTGCATGTCTACATGCTCCACGGTGATCTATTTGTATGTCAAGGGCCTCATTCAACAAGTTTAAAAAATGTGTTCCTTTATATCTGGAGAGAAAAAAAAGTTTGAGCAACAAATGCATGTCACTTGGTGTGGTCTTGCCCTTGCAAGACACTATCAAACAAAGCAGCCCATCCTGCAGGAACGGACAGAGTGCTTACATTTACTACAGCATTTTTATTCACTTCTGTCTTTCTTCAAGGAAAATTTCAAGTATATTAGCATAACCTTATGGAGCTCTCCAAATCAGTGATAGCAGTCATAAGCTTTGAGGCCTGGTTGTGGAAAGCATAACAATCCAATTTGAATGTAAAAGCCAATACATTTAGTGCAGGATAAGATTATGTATTCCAGCTTGAAATCATTTTCTGAAATGCAACCATGGAAGAGGAAAGTGGATTTGGATTAAAATAGACTTTCAGAGCAGTATAATAAAGAAACTAAATCTGTGGCACAAAGGCATGTTGGTTTTACAGTGCTTTAGCAGTTATCTTGTAGATTAAACACCTGTTGTAATCAGTGACATTTTAATTGCTTTGTTTACCTTATTTATTGGAATACAAGATGAGCTCCATTTCTCCCCCCCCTCCCCATCAGGCTGGGGATAAAAGCCTCTTGGCTTACATTTGCATAGACCTCATTAAATACATTGTTTCTCATTAAACTGGTGCCAAAAGCACCATGAGCCTAGCAATAGAAACCAACCATGAAGTTGATTAAATGTAGTCAACACTGAGCATAACTTTAAAACACAAGGCCCACATTGAGTAAACATGCTGATAGGACTCTACCACAAGGATAAGTTAGTGCAGCTCATCTGAATAAGATATACGGTAGTGCCCGTTGAGTGTGGTCCCCCTCAGTGCTCACTCTTTTTCAAGTCATAGTGAGCTACTCCATTGTATACATTTTGACTTCCTCTTCACTCCCACAGCTGAGCTGTACCTTTTACCTTTCCTTCCCACTTCCAGTGATTTCTGTTTCTTCACCAGTCTTAAATTTCTGGGAAACATCACCAAGTGGGGCCCCAAACAGTTCACTCAGAACCTCTGTCATCACCTCTCTGAGCTTGGTATGTATGCTTAGTGTGGCCCCACCACCCATGAGGTGGGCGGACCAGGTTGCCCTGCGCCTCATCGGTATGTACATTTTTGGAAGATTCCAGGACTTGACAAGAACACCCAGTTCCAGTTATGAGTGTGTGTGGGGAGATGGTAATTAGCACATGGATGCTTGGGGGGGGCAGCAATCTGGATTATACACACATGTTGAGCAGTGCGGATCACCATGGCTTGAAACATTGTTGACTGCTGGGGCCCAGCCCAATGAACTGTGTGGTAAACCACGAGCCTTTTGGCTTTGGACTAATGTCATGTATAGTCCCTAGCTTACTTCTGTGGCCATACAGCTAAGGCCAAGCAAAACTCAGGGGCATCCAAACCCCAAGCCTCCAGTCTTGTGTCTGCATGTAGGATGCCTGGTAAAGGATTTGGAAGTATCTGGAGCTCCAAGCTGGGGTGGAAGATACTTGCCAGTAGCAGGGCCACATATAGTTCTTGAATGATTCAAACTGATTTTATCTGACCTGAAACATGAAAAAGTTTCCAAAAAAAATAGTTTGTACTAGGTCTCAGTAAGTACAAAAGTGCTGTGCTAAAAATTGCAGTAATTTAAAAAAAAGGTAAAATGCATCAATTCTGGATGACCTTGGTCTATGGGTACCATATGCAAATTACTGCAGCTATGTTTATTTCAAGGTCAGTGTTTTCAAATTTGCTCCTCACTTCCATGTGCTCAGGGAGAGCAGAGTCGGATATTAAGCAGGGGTGGGAAGGGGCTGCAGGGGGAAGAAGCTGGGAGGGAGGGTGCAGAGGAAAGGAGGCTACTTGACACCCCAGATTTATTTTCCCTGTTGTAGCAATAGGAGGGGGACAAATTCAAGGGAAACCTTCTATAATTAGATTCTATACCTAGAAAAATATAACAAATTTATAAATTTTCCATATATAGAATCTTATTATTGGGGGGTTATCTTATTTTTCAGTATTTAGAAAAGTGAAACATACTTGTATGGCATGTCTACGCAATGCGGAGGACTGAAAAATTTCATTGAACACCAGAGATGTTTGGTTTCAAATCAAAAATCGCTCAGTGGCTTCAAGGAAAAGGGACTCTAACTTCCATTAATTCTTATTGTTAAAAGATAAGCATATGCAGCTCATTCATCTCTCCTTGAAAACAGAATAGTATCCATCAGATCTAGCAGTGATATACTGTGGATTAATCATGGCTACTCTAAACTGGAACTGCATAAAATATGTGTAACTTAGAAGATGTGTAAACAATTTAAGTGTGTTATGTAGAGTATTTATGATCAGAGGCAGGCCTTCACAGTTTGGGCAATGGATATATAAAAATTGCAAATTAGTGTTAGGCAAGTTTATTTAAAAAAATGCACCTGGTATGTCTAGATTTTTAGTTCTAAAATGTTTGGGACATGGTGATGACTGTTTGTACCATCTCTTACAGGGAACAAATGAAGTTCTGCGACCATATATTGCTCTGACGGGTATGCAGTATGCCGGCAAAATCTTAACTAAAAGAATAAAGTATGTTTTTTTTCCCTTGCTTATATCCTTAATTTGCCTCTAACTACAACTGATAATCAGTAAACTGTTCAGTTAGCAGTAGGTGAAAGCAGAGATTTTTGTAATCAGAAACTGGATAAAGAGTTTTGTTCAAACAACCTCAATGTTTTGTAGAAGGCAGTTCAGCAGTACTTGATGTTTTTTGTTAATAAGCAACATATGTACATTTTAGAATGTTAACCAGTATTTTAGAAACTTAAAAAACCCCACATATTACAAGGCTTAAGTTTATGTGGATGGACTAAGATGCAAGTCTTTCCTGTAATACTTGTAATTAGTAAATCATATTTATTAATATTCTTAACAACTACCCTTGTTGAAAGATAGCTGTAGCATCCAAAAGTCAGTCATAAGAGAACTCTGGTATCTACTATCTAGATTCCATAGGAAAAGTGGCTATACCTCCTATCTATGGACTATACTAACCTCTCTGAAATATAATGCTCATATCTTTGGCAGGAAGCTTAGCATTCTGTCTCCTAGCATATTGTACACCTGCTAACCAAATTGCACAGTATAAAGCAGCAATTCTCAACCAAGCTGCTGTGTGAGACCTTTGCAGGGATGTCACAGTGCTGGTGCCGAGCAACCAGGCTGAGCAGCTTTGCATGCCTTGTAAACAACCAAATGAGGAGGTAGGGGCACCTGGTTCTACCACAGCCCTTCCAAGTCTGGCCTCCTACACTCCTCTCAGAACCAGGTGCATGGGGCAGGTGGAACCGCTAGCAAGAGGGGGCTCTCCTGCCTGCGTTAGGCTCACCTGACTGCGCATGAGGTACAGTTGTAGCAGCAGTGCCCTGGGTTCAGCTGAAGCAGCACAGTAGTTGTTCTCAACTGGAGTGCTGCCATTTTTTAAAGATGTTATAGAGGGTACCCTGAATCTAGAAAAGTTGAGAAATGCTGGTGGTGTTTGGTGGTTTTGTGAAGCACTCAGTGTGCTTGTCGCTGCTCGAACCTAGTACAACACACAGTTTGTTTTATGCTGAGCCGGTACAAATGTGACAGTTGGTACAGCTTTGCAGCTACATTGGCAGTCAAAAGCAAGACCAGTCTGCTCCAAAGAGCTTGCAGTAGCTCAAAGCCAAACACCAGTGTCATCACCATTCAGAAATGGAGCAATGAAGAGTTGTTTCAGGGAAAGAAACTTGTTCAGTTTGTCAGAGATGGGACTTGCGCAAACCAGTTTAAAATGTTCAGGTCCCTGCTTCATACCAGCTCTTTGTTTAGCATGCAACTTCTTGTGTATATGTTGTTTTTTATTTTCTCTCCCCTGTCACCTAGTTCTTTTCCTATGCATGTGATGGGGGCTGAGGGGCAAATGTAGTCTTCACAGCATTGTTTTTGCAAATTCTTCAGGGAATTCAGGAAACTGAAGGCTACATTCATGACAGCATTTCTAGGACAATTCTGGGACTCGATAGGCAAAAAAGTTGATTTAGGACTGGTTGGTGATAAGGGTGTGATGCATCCCAGCCTAGAGGTAAGTAACAACCCTCCTTCTCCCCCCCCCCCC